GGTCTACTATTCAAGGCCCGATTTGCCTAATAAGCCAAGTTTTCATGAATTAATTGTTTTTCGACTACCTAACCTACCTAACCTAACCTAACCTAACTTTTTCGGCTACCTAACCAAACCTAACCTATAAAGATAGGTTAGGTTAGGTTAGGTAGGGTTGGTTAGGTTCGGTCATATATCTACGTTAATTTTAACTCCAATAAAAAAAAATTGACCTCATACATAATGAAATGGGTAGCTTTATCATTTCATAAGAAAAAAATTAGAAAAAATATATTAATTCAGGAAAACTTGGCTTATTAGGCAAATCGGGCCTTGAATAGTAGGCCAAAAAGTGAGTTCTGGCTACTAGGTACGACATATATATATATATATATATATATATATATATATATATATATATATATATATATATATATATATATATGTCGTACCTAGTAGCCAGAACTCACTTCTCAGCCTACTATTCAAGGCCCGATTTGCCTAATAAGCCAAGTTTTCCTGAATTAATATATTTACTATATTTTTTTTCTTATGACATGATAAAGCAACCCTTTTCTCTATGTATTAGGTCAATTTTTTTTATTGGAGTTAAAAGTAACGTAGATATATGACCGAACCTAACCAACCCTACCTAACCTAACCTAACCTATATTTATAGGTAAGGTTAGGTTAGGTAGCCAAAAAAAGCTAGGTTAGGTTAGGTTAGGTTGGTTAGGTAGACGAAAAAACATTAATTCATGAAAACTTGGCTTATTAGGCAAATCGGGCCTTGAATAGTAGGCTGAGAAGTGCGTTCTGGCTATTAGGTACGACATATATATATATATATATATATATATATATATATATATATATATATATATATATATATATATATATATATATATATATATATATATATACATGTCGTACCTAGTAGCCAGAACGCACTTCTCAGCCTACTATACAAGGCCTGATTTGCCTAATAAGTCAATTTTTCCTGAATTAATATATTTTCTCTAATTTTTTTCTTATGAAATGATAAAGCTACCCATTTCATTATGTATGAGGTCAATTTTTTTATTGGAGTTAAAATTAACGTAGATATATGACCGAACTTAATCAACCCTACCTAACCTAACCTAACCTATCTTTATAGGTTAGGTTAGGTAGCCGAAAAAGTTAGGTTAGGTTAGGTTAGGTAGGTTAGGTAGTCGAAAAACAATTAATTCATGAAAACTTGGCTTATTAGGCAAATCGGGCCTTGCATAGTAGGCTGACAAGTGCGTTCTGGCTACTAGGTACGACATATATATATATATATATATATATATATATATATATATATATATATATATATATATATATATATATATATTTATTATGCATTTGATGGTTACAAGATATACATGGGTTGATACAAAAATAATAATACAAAAAAGTGCTTAAAGGTTATGGATCTCTTGAAAAACACGACAATGGGAAACATTGATGAATGTCACAGACGGGTTCGATCATTGTTGCAAGTCAAACACTTCTACGAATTCCTCTGAAGTTGGACTAGTGCCCAAGACGCAACAAGCATTTCCCCTCTGAATCGCAACACTGAGGCGCTGGAACAAGAAACTTTTTGCTCTCTGGTCTTTTGTAGCGCTGATCAATTTGTCCTACAATTCCTTCAGGAACTTCAATGCACATTTTCCCCACGAACCGAGGGTCTCCGAGCCGATCGGAACAAAGCTGTAGCAGTGTGCTAGACCTCTGTATTTAATAATTTTCTGCGACATATATATATATATATATATATATATATATATATATATATATATATATATATATATATATATATATATATATATATATATATATATATATATATATATATATATATGCCACATATGCCACTACATTCGTCCTGAATAGTGTAAAACATCTTTAGAGAAAAATTATTCACATTATACTGCTTAAGGAAACTATTTGCCATCAAAGATGTTACAGATTTGAAAAGAACATCTTATCTGTTTCTTAAGGTATTGACCGTAATACCGAAGACAATATCAATTAAGCTGTTCCATATGCCACTTAAATGTCAAATTGTTACTGCTAGGTAACAGGGGGCATAAGGGTGAAAGAAACTCTGGTCCATTGTTTCTCGCCCGGGATCGAACCCGGGACCACAGGATCACACGTCCAGTGCTCAGCGTGCCTATGGCCAGTGGAGGAGTTGTTGTGGTCAATTGTCAGTGTGATTGATTGTGATTGATGAGGGGCGGATACGTCTGTTAATACGTACAAAATACGTCTGTTAATACGTACAAAATACGTCTGTTTAAAATTACCTATGCTTCACCTTCCCGCTGATACGCCTCTTCTAGCTTCGCCTCTGAGGTAATGGGCGGCATTTTCCTGGGCACTGGTGAGTTATCAACGTCCTTCCTCTTCCCATTAGCCATTATTAATGGTATTTGCGTGGATAAAGTGGCAAGACAGCACAACGTGTAGCGGCCCTCACCACGTGGGAAGGGCGACTGAGGTGGCCTCCGCCACATCAGTCACATCGTACACACGACACTTCCCAAAACATAATATTAAAAAACCTTGCTAATCTTACCTAAATAAACTCAAACTCAGCCGATTCTACCGCATTATAATCTAACCTAATACATCCTAATTTAATGATATATATATATACGGTGCTAACAGTCGGAAATTAGGTTGTTGATGTCTTGTGTACGATTTGAGAGTACAGTATCGTACCCAATGCCGCACGCCATTTCGAAGGTGTTGCCATATTATACTTGAGACGCCTCGGCGAGATTATAGTGGTTTTCTTAGTTGGTTTAGTGCGTAGCGAGTTTGTAGTGTAGTAGGATGCTGGGGACAGGGTAGGGGAGGCTTGTAAAAATGTTCGAAACACGAATGTTCGTTTAGCGGGGGATATTCTGATATTTACAAAGGATCACAAAGATAAAAAAAAATGCCTAAAGCCTATTGGCAGATACCTCCTCTCTTATATATATCCATCCAAACTGATTCACGTATATCTAAAATACAGGTGAAATAATTCAGCGATTATGCTCCTATTATGTCCCCCTGTAATTTGTTCCGTAAGCCAAGAAGCCTAATTTCCAAACCAGTATTTACCCAGGATTTTGCTGAATCTAAACTCATCCAATTTATATCCATTAATTCGTGTTTGATTTTGTACTGACGTATCTCATAAGGCTGGACAGTCAGTCCTCTCGTCGAACGCATTTAAAAAGAAAATCTAAAAATTAATCTTGACATATGTGACAGATTACCACATACAGAGTTATTAGTGATATCCTCTTGATACCTAACTCACAAAAGGCAACACATTAAACGCTCCTTGACCAAGTGATAAGTTCAAATACGTAACTCAGTGTAGTCATGAAAGTACAACAAATGAGTAAGAACTTCCAGTTTCCTCCAAAACTCACAAAAGTTAGTTCCAGCATATCGCTGTGGCAGCTGAAACATCGTCCAACTTCAAAATTGGATCATGTAAAGGAACAAAGTTTTTGATAGCTTTGTAAACTTAGTTCGAAACAAAAAACAAAGTTTTTAAATGGTTAATTAGTTACACAAATAACGATGACGCTCAACGATGAGTCTATTTCATTAATCAATGGGCAAATAGTCTAGGTTAACGAACTAGGGCAAGTTAATTATCGAACCTGTGATAAACTGCCTTGTTAGTTAACATTGATCTGGCAGGTAGGCACATGCGCTTTGTTAAAAATGACCCATATGACCCATACGAGGCAGCTCCTATTGACCCATACGAGGCAGCTCCTACTGACCCATGTGAGGCAGCTCTTACTGACCCATACGAGGCAGCTCCTACTGAGCCATACGAGGCAGCTGACCCATACGAGGCAGCTCCTACTGAGCCATACGAGGCAGCTCCTATTGACCCATACGAGGCAGCTCCTACTGACCCATGTGAGGCAGCTCTTACTGACCCATACGAGGCAGCTCCTACTGAGCCATACGAGGCAGCTGACCCATACGAGGCAGCTCCTACTGAGCCATACGAGGCAGCTCCTATTGACCCATACGAGGCAGCTCCTATTGACCCATACGAGGCAGCTCCTACTGACCCATACGAGGCAGCTCCTACTGAGCCATACGAGGCAGCTCCTATTGACCCATACGAGGCAGCTCCTACTGAGCCATACGAGGCAGCTCCTATTGACCCATACGAGGCAGCTCCTATTGACCCATACGAGGCAGCTCCTATTGACCCATACGAGGCAGCTCCTATTAATAACCAGCCAAACTCATTGATATATATATGTCTAACCTACGTTTGAAACAATCCAGCGCTCCTACATCTATTATGTTACCTGGTAATTAGTTTCATAAATCATCAAGTCTTATTTTCACGCCAGTAACTGCTAAGGTCTTGTCAGAATCACAATTTACCCAGTTTGTATCTAAAGCCTAATCCAGAACTAAAGCCTAATCCACAAACATGCTGTGGATTAGGTTGAATCTAAAGCCTAATCAACAACATGTTCTCACCTCAAGATGGTGAGAGTTACAAGGTCCTCTAACTCGGTGAGTCATTAACAACATCTTCCTAACCTCACAGGCAAGAACACAAAGCTTGAAGCTAAGACAAAACCAAGATGTTGATGACAATGATACAAGTGCTATTGAGGTCTACTGAAGGATAGGAGGAGCGGATCAATAACTGTAAAAGGGGGGGTCAGTCAAGAGACGTGAGGTAAACACTAATGGAGAATTATTAAGTTGACCAGACCACACACTAGAAGGTAAAGGGACGACGACGTTTCGTTCTGGACCATTCTCAAGTTGACTTGAGAATGGTCCAGGACGGACCGAAACGTCGTCGTCCCTTCACCTTCTAGTGTGTGGTCTGGTCAACTTACTTTAGCCACGTTATTGTGACTCATCGCCTGCATGAGAATTATTAAGTCTGTGCAAAAACACAAGAAATAGAGAGAGAGAGAGAATTGAAATAAATTTACTATTGCTACAGCAACATTAGCATCTCCTGTGTCTGAAACAAGAGAAAGAAATTTAACTTGAAACACAAAAGAGATACAGTTCTACAAAGACTGTAATTTGACTATAAATATGGAATGTTTCTTCCCACCATCTCATTTACCAAACAGCCGAAGACAGCTTGGAGCATTAAAAAAGATATACAGCAGAACCAAAACAGCCGAAGGCAGCTAGGAACACGAAGGAGATACAGCAACGTTAAACTGTAATGTACCATCAACAAACGTACATTTCCCTCCACAGATTCAGGAGGTAAACAGCCTAGCGTCAGCTGAGGCCCACCAAGTGGAATGCCAGCTCTTGCAAGTGATGTTTCACGCCTTGCTGCCACGACATCTCAGTCTCTGGTAGTTACTGTGTATAACTACCTCCCACTATCTAGTCTCGAACCACCTGAGAGGTTCAATTACCTCTACTCGTTAGCTCCATACCTGAGAGCTAAAGTCACTTGTCTCCGGACTTTGCTTTAAGTAGCACTTAACGCTTTTAAGTGATATAACTGTATACTTGCTTAGTTTAGCAGGCATGATTGATTGTCACTTTGAATTGTTGCTTAGACAGGTAAACTGTCATTGTATATTTCCCTTGAAAAGAAAAAATGTAAACAATTCGAAGGCAGTTTTTGCATATAGGGAATCAAGAAACGAGAATAGACTAAAATATTTAATTTAATAATAATCGTGATAATGGATTTGATAACAGATATGGTAAAAGACTTCATAATAGATATCATGATAGCCTAGGATACAACGAGATATCTTCACGTTTTATTGAGTGCTATTAGATATTAAAATGCAAAAAATGTTGAGAAGCAAATCCATATCAGTGACTTTTGTATGACAAATCTTGTCATACGAAACTTTTAACACAAGAGATTTTGCAGACGATGAGTCACAATAACGTGGCTGAAATATGTTGACCAGACCACACACTACAAAGTGAAGGGACGACGACGTTTCGGTCCGTCCTGGACCATTCTCAAGTCGATTGTGAGAATGGTCCAGGACGGACCGAACTGACCAACCACCAAGTTTGGTGTTGGACTTAAGACCTATCAACCTCTGGAGGGTTATTAAGACCACCACAATACCTTACTGACCAACCACCAAGTTTGGTGTTGGACTTAAGACCTATCAACCTCTGGAGGGTTATTAAGACCACCACAATACCTTACTGACCAACCACCAAGTTTGGTGTTGGACTTAAGACCTATCAACCTCTGGTGGGTTATTAAGACCACCACAATACCTTACTGACCAACCACCAAGTATACTTTAATCCTGAACATAGTCTAGTATCAAAATATACTCAAGAGTATATTCACCGAGAGGTGTGTTGGTGTGCCTCTCACACCAACACATATTTAATTTATACATACATATACACACACCAACATATATAAATGCCCCCAGCCCTTGAAACGGACGTAGCCTCATCTTTAACATCTGACAAAATAAAATAAAACTGAATCCCACAAATTACCATAGACGAAGGTGGATGCCATTAGGTTGAAACAGAAGAAATTCAAGAAATCTTGGAAAGGTAATATCAGTTTAGACATCCAACTCATACTTACGAAAATAATGGATGTGAATTTCAGTGTTAAATTCTCAGCCTCTTTATCGTGACTACAATTCCAATTAGTATTTGTGAGATATAAATTGATTTAAAAACATTTTAAATGAACAATTAGTTTTCATAATGAACGTATTAAACACAAGCTCTTAATTCCGGGTTTTACCGTAGCGTTCTCTGAATGTTGAAAATACTCCTATGATGCTCCAGGCTGAAATTCAAAAGATGCTACAAACAAAATCTAATCTTAAAACTATATTTAACATCTCAAAATGGGTTTCTAGCATCAGTTAAAACGCGCTATCTCTCTTGAAGTTAAAAATATCTGGAAAAAGCCTCACAATCTACTTGAATACTTTTTTTTCACTAGAGCGAACGAGAGATTATTTCCCTCTTGCTTTAGGCATACTTATGCTAAATATTTGATGTTTTGGTAAAATAAAAAACGCTTCTGTGAAAATCGGATAATCATAGACATAATTTTGGCCTTCCATTACTCCCAAAACAAATTAATACGTGTCAATTTTATGGTATAGCAATGAGTTTATTTTCTGCAAAATCTGCATTAATGATCAGGTGTAAGAGCGCGGGAAAGCCTTACTGACAAGCAGACTTTCAGACTGTGGAAAATATTCCACTTTTGCGTAAATTAATAATGAATTTAGTTATTATTAAGGCAGTGGCCTACGTGAGTAAGATGATGACACCTTTCTGGCAACACTACTCCAGATGGCGGAGTATGATAATTATCTGTTTGAGCTTCGCTATTAATTACTAATAACTCAATATTATACTCTAAACTATAACTATCTACCAGCAGAAAAATTATCTGGTTTATTTTAAATTAAAAGAGGAAATAACTTTCGTTAGACAGTGAGTTATACCCTGTTCCCTCGTATATATAAAAGGTAACAGCCTAGCATAGGCTTTACTTAAATTCCATTAATTTAAAAGTTACACGCTTCCTAGAGCTCAATACTTCGTGACTAGAAAATCTAAATATGTAGAATTACATGAGATAATAAATTATTAGTGTGTTGGAGCATTTGCTTAAGTGTAATGTGCGTAATAATTAGAATTTATATAACAGGAATTGGCAAGGCCGCCACCCCCTTGATTTTACCCAGAGGAAAAGACTGTCAGTGTCGTGTGAGACATTATGGAGGACGGGTCTACGGCTCCCTGTCTACCGTCTCTACTACGACCTACTGCCATGGTGTTCTATTGTACATGTTCTCTCTGTTAGAGCAGCAGAGCGACGGTTTAGTTTCATGCTGGTCGGCGTTCAATCCCCGACTGTTCCTAAGTGGTTGGGCACCATTCCTTTCCCACCGTCCCATCCCAAGTCCTGACCCCTTCCCAGTGTTATATAGTCGTAGTGGCTTGGTCCATTCTCCTGATAGTTCTCCCTTCTCTCGCCCAGCTGAACTGACTGTCCACCTGTTTTTGGACCAGCTGTTGGAGGCCTGACCTGGGGGACCAGCTGTTGGAGGCCTGGCCTGGGGCGACCAGCTGTTGGAGGCCTGGCCTGGGGCGACCAGCTGTTGGAGGCCTGGCCTGGGCGACCAGCTGTTGGAGGCCTGGCCTAGGGGACCAGCTGTTGGAGGCCTGGCCTGGGGGACCAGCTGTTGGAGGCCTGGCCTGGGGCGACCAGCTGTTGGAGGCCTGGCCTGGGCGACCAGCTGTTGGAGGCCTGGGGGACCAGCTGTTGGAGGCCTGGCCTGGGGCGACCCGCTGTTGGAGGCCTGGCCTAGGGGACCAGCTGTTGGAGGCCTGGCCTGGGCGACCAGCTGTTGGAGGCCTGGCCTGGGCGACCAGCTGTTGGAGGCCTGGCCTGGGGGACCAGCTGTTGGAGGCCTGGCCTGGGGCGACCAGCTGTTGGAGGCCTGGCCTGGGGGACCAGCTGTTGGAGGCCTGGCCTGGGGCGACCAGCTGTTGGAGGCCTGGCCTGTGGCGACCAGCTGTTGGAGGCCTGGCCTGGGGGACCAGCTGTTGGAGGCCTGGCCTGGGGCGACCAGCTGTTGGAGGCCTGGCCTGGGGGACCAGCTGTTGGAGGCCTGGCCTGGGGCGACCAGCTGTTGGAGGCCTGGCCTGGGGTACCAGCTGTTGGAGGCCTGACCTGGGGGACCAGCTGTTGGAGGCCTGGCCTGGGGCGACCAGCTGTTGGAGGCCTGGCCTGTTGCGACCAGCTGTTGGAGGCCTGGCCTGTGGCGACCAGCTGTTGGAGGCCTGGCCTGGGGGACCAGCTGTTGGAGGCCTGGCCTGGGGGACCAGCTGTTGGAGGCCTGGCCTGGGGGACCAGCTGTTGGAGGCCTGGCCTGGGGCACTGGAATGTGTCCATGTTGGGTGTTGGAGGCCTGGCCCGGGGCACTGGAATGTGTCCATGTTGGGTGTTGAAGGCCTGACCCGGGGCACTGGAATGTGTCCATGTTGGGTGTTGGAGGCCTGGCCCGGGGCACTGGAATGTGTCCATGTTGGGTGTTGGAGGCCTGGCCCGGGGCACTGGAATGTGTCCATGTTGGGTGTTGGAGGCCTGGCCCGGGGCACTGGAATGTGTCCATGTTGGGTGTTGGAGGCCTGGCCCGGGGCACTGGAATGTGTCCATGTTGGGTGTTGGAGGCCTGACCCGGGGCACTGGAATGTGTCCATGTTGGGTGTTGGAGGCCTGACCCGGGGCACTGGAATGTGTCCATGTTGGGTGTTGGAGGCCTGACCCGGGGCACTGGAATGTGTCCATGTTGGGTGTTGGAGGCCTGGCCCGGGGCACTGGAATGTGTCCATGTTGGGTGTTGGAGGCCTGACCCGGGGCACTGGAATGTGTCCATGTTGGGTGTTGGAGGCCTGACCTGGGGCACTGGAATGTGTCCATGTTGGGTGTTGGAGGTCGGACTTGTATTACCTTGTTCAAGAGTGCCGGCCACTCTTGAAGGCACTTCACCAACAGCCTAAGTATGTGTGGTTTACGTAATCCTAGTTTGGACCTCTTGTACCCGTGTATAAACCCGTAACTTTACATACGAATTGGTTAACAAGCAGGAGAATAGTCCACATATGTGAAAAGCCATTATACTAATTCTCATTTTTTATTGTAATGATATAGGCAAATGTGATTAATTTCATCACTATTAATTGCAATAACACCTTGGAATGCTCAGATTAAAATCTGTGCATCTAACATTATATTTTATAGTATATTTATGTGAGAGCTTCTTGCAGATAAGGTGTCGCAGGCAGCTTCTGGAATCAGTTTCCAGCTGACGTGTAGATTAGGACGTCACTTGAGGCTACCTTGAGTACCACCAGCCGCTTGTCCCTCTGGAACAAGACGACTCTACCCAATACACAAGTTTCCCCTGAATGTGGCGGGACTAAACTTACAGGAAAGTCTCATTCTGTCGAGGCTTTAGTAGGTAGTGAGATTAGGTAATGGTAAGTTTTCCATACTCGCAGACAAGCAGACTGTTCTCATTAACAGGCAGACTTTCACTCGGAGAAGCAGCCTCAACTCACAGATAAGCAGAATTTCAGAGACTAGACGACGTTCACACAAGTAGGCTTTCAGACTGATTCACTACAGCATTTCTTTTGTTGTACAAAAATCGCTCATCTGGAGTTATACCTCAGAACGAGTGTAAGGTTTCAACCCCTCAACCTCTTAACCCTGTACTTTCACTACGTTAACTCAGCCCCCCAACACCACCTTCGACCCCTATCAGACTCTACCCCTAGACTTGAGTAGGAGCGCGAGATACCGAGCATTACTCTCACTTCACTTAATTCTCGACCTTCTCCCGCTAGTGATAAACTAAGTCGGGAGAGTCTAGACAAAGTGACCTGTGTCTTAAGTCATAAATCAGCCGGGAATGGGGGGAGAAAATAGTCAAGCGTCTGCTTCTAGTTGTGCACAAAAAAGCACAATAACGTGATAGATCAACGAGGACACGAGTAGAAGCCATGAGGAATAGATGCTACACACTGGGTTCTCCCAAGTATATGCCCTAACCAACTCGGCCACGACATGCTAAAAGCTATGCAACCTGGGAATCGGTTGAATCATCTTAAGGGTCTTGTGACTTACGGGACTTAAGGTTCTTAAGACTTAAGGGAGCCGGTCGGCCGAGCGGACAGCACGCTGGACTTGTGGTCCTGAGTTCGATCCCGGGCGCCGGCGAGAAACAGAGCAGAGTTTCTTTCACCCTATGCCCCTGTTACCTAGCAGTAAAATAGGTACCTGGGTGTTAGTCAGCTGTCACGGGCTGCTTCCTGGGGGTGGAGGCCTGGTCGAGGACCGGGCCGCGGGGACACTAAATCCCCGAAATCATCTCAAGATAACCTCTCGTAGGAGATTCAATTGAATCTCGGGTTGCATAGTTTTTAGCATGTCGTGGCAGAGTTGGTTAGGGCGTATACTTGGGAGTACCCAGTGGCTTCTACTGATTTTTCCCGGTTATGTTAGTGGTGTAATAACTGTTAAGTGGTGTAAATAGTAGGCTTGAGAAACTTCAGTTTCCCCTAGTGTTCAATCCGTCTATACAACCTTAATATGTTGCCACAGATGCATCACTGCAGACGATGGGGTCACAATAACGTCGTTTAAGATATGACCAAACCACACACCATATGAGACCGTTTAGGTCCGTCCTGGACCATTCTCACAATCGACTGGATCATTGTCCAGGACGGACCGAAACGTCGTCGTCCCATCTTCTGGTGTGTGGTCTGGTCATCATGGATCACTGCTTTGTGAGCTTCCGGGGCTTATTCACTGTATTAAATATAGACTGCTTTACGCTGTTAAAATATCTATTCATTACCGGCAGAATTGTAAAGATTTGTTCAAGTATTCATTATTAAAGATTGATTCTGAAAGCCACAGCCTCGTTCATATTAAAAATATATAATTTTATTTTATATAGTTAAATCGTGAATAGAAATGTCATTTCATGCCAGTTTAATGACCGAAGCGCTGTGCTAATATTAATACAGTGCTTTTATGTAATATTCATTTCTTACGGATTCTATACCATTTCATATATCAAACGTATGACTAAAAATAATTGTAACACAAATCAATTCGGAATTTTGTTCTACTTTATCAGTCGGCAATATGAAAGAAAATTTGATAAATGTTGTGGGATATTTGGGGCCTGACTCAATTTATTTAATTATTAAATTAATGAAATCAATTACGAAGGACCACCCACTTTTAAGAAAAGAGGGAAACTAATAAAAAGTGATCATTAGAAACACAAGGAAGAACCAGTGTCTATGGATAAATATTATGAAGCATAATCCCTTAAATAATTAATGGGCTGTATAGTTAATTAACTTAAATCAAAGCCTCAAACACCTACATTGGGGGGGTATTGCTAGAACTTCATATACATCTAGGAACTAGTGTGGTTCGTGCACCAGTTCATTGTGTAATAACTAATCTTATGACCAAATTATTAAAGAATCAAAAGACGATTATCACCAGAAATTATAAAGATTATTAGCATTGGAAAATAATCATCAAAATAAACACATATTGTCTCCAGTGTACACGACGAGCATCCTATTAAGTAGAATCGTGACTAAATAACAAGATTTGGAGTAATTAAATGGGTACAAAAAAGTCTTAGCTTTAAGACGATTTCTAAGACATCATTCACGCCTCGTCCTCGTGATCTCCGGAATTCCTCGTAGAAACACTTAGAGGTGAATAACACGAAGTTAGGTAACAGCTCGTTGACTCCTCACATACGAGCTGTAATTTAAGGGATATTACGTAGCATTGAACTAGGCTACTTGAATCACAATATCCATGAAATATAAATTTAAATTTAGTGCGGTACTAACGTTGGATTTGTTGTAGTCATACGATATAACGACAAGCTGCCCACGACATATACAATCTCTAATGATGCATCAAAGAAGAACTATATACTTATCAGAGGGTGCAAATTATGCTGAAGCTTGCCGGTATCGCGTCCCAGGCTCAAACTTCCACAATGTCGTACACGTGATTGATAGCTTGGCCTGAATATCGACGCGTTATTAGTTGACCGAGCACTGCAGATCACGTAGAACAATAATAATCCGTTCAGGGTTGAGTACCAGGGTAATTCTTGCTGACAATCTCCCCCTCCCCTTCCGGCCCGTTGGCGACGTGAGGGGGCTTGGTGGACGGCTGCCGGAGTGTGATGCTCCGTTGGGCAGTCCTGTCCTTTTCTGGCCTTGCACTCCTGCTGCTGTCTTCTCCAATTGTGCCGGATCGCTTTTCCTTTTCCTTATGTTTCGTTTTTCTCCCCCCTCTTCTCCTATCTGCTTGTCGTTTCCTGCCGACCTTTTGCTTGTTTTGGATTCTTTCTTTGGACTTCTTCTATTTTGACGCCCGGGTGCTTGAGGAGGCATACTCTTGCACCCGTAGAACTGTAGTACCCGACGTCTCGAGCGAGGGGAACCTTTTATTGTCAATCCCCCTTTCGTCGCTGAACCCGATCTCGACGGACTGACGGTTCTTAAGGTGGCGTTTGTGGGGCGTATACTCACGACGCACCCCTAGGGGGCCCCGGCATGATCAGCGATAGCTTCCTGTTGGGTGTCCTGCCTCTAATTGTGGCTCCATGGTGGGTATGGGGGCACATTCGTGGATGAATTTGTCACTTTTCGTCTCTATGTCGTTGAATGTTTCCGTTGTACCCTCTCAGGCTCGTGGGGTGGGCGACCAAGCCCCCGAGTCGGCCTGTATTGGAAGACCAGGCTCTGTAGCTCCCGCTGCGTTGGGCCCCGACCTTGCTCCTCCTTTGACCGTCCTGACTTCTTCCCCCAGCTCCCCTCCCTCCTCTGAGGTTGGGTCGAGCCTCCAGCCCCCGGTGGTGACCACTTCGTCCCCTGGTGTGGCTAAGTCTTTCGTTGTGACTACTGCGCCTTTTGACCCCTCTCTCTCTAGGGGTTCTCAACGCCGTTCGCGCCCCAACCGCACTCGCTCGATTCCTTCCCGTGCTGATGCGTATCAGGCCTTGTTTGGTCCTGCTTCATGGGCCAAATACTTTGATCTCCTCCCTCTTGATTCTGCGCCTCCTGACGATTTCTCCCTCCATCGGCATCTTGTAGATTCCGTGGATGCGTGTGTTACTTTCAACCCCACTCGTCTCGGTACACGTGTCGTTGCTGCTCCTTCTCAGGATGCGGCTTCCCGCTTGGCTGCCTTATCTTGCCTTGGCGAGATCCCTGTTCGGGTCTCCAAGAACGTTCAGATGAATTCCAGTGTTGGCACTATTCTCCTCCCACCCCATGTTGCAACCGGTGTTCGGAATCTGCAGGATTGCCACGATGATATTCGGCATATCCTTGATGCCCAAGGCCATTCTGTCCTCCAGGTTGACTCGTTTACTCGTCCCCCTCGTGGTCGTCGCCGTCAACCCCTTCGTGTTGTGAAGATCACCTTTGATGGTAGGACCCTTCCATCCTCTGTCATTCTTGCTGGTGCTAGGTGCTCTGTCCAGGAGTATATTCCTTCTCCTCGACTTTGTAATAAGTGCTGGAGGTTTGGGCATGGTGCCCTCCGCTGCTCTGGGACTGTCTCTCTCTGTCCTTTGTGTGGGAGTGAAGGTCACTCTAAGTCGGAGTGCACTTCTCCCCAAGCTCGCTGCCTCAACTGCGGTGAGGCCCATCCTACGTTCTCCCGTGCCTGTGTCCATTACAAGCTTGAGGCGGCCGTCCTTAACCTGAAGCACCGGGAGCGTTTGTCTTTTCCTGAGGCGAGGCGCCAGGTTCGCCGGCTCCCGCCTTATACTAACATCTCTTATGCTCGCGTGTTGAGCTCTTCCTCTCCTCGTCC